GTGTATAGACACACATAAAGAGGTCATTGGCCAGTTTTTCTACCAAAGCATCACACAGACAATAACAACAACAATAACATACCCAACGTAATCCCACAAGTCAGGCCTTGGGAGGGTAGTGTATACACAAACCTTACCCATATCTTGAGAGATAGAGGTGCTATTTCCTATACAGATACACCCATCACATTGATAATAACCCTTCTATCTCCGATAGACCCATCACATTGATAATAGTTCAACCAATAAGGATACTTCCTGATATTAGACAAATGAACGAAACTTTTGAGCTCTAGATTACATCTGCTTGTTCACACATATGAGGAAATCGCAATCAAAACTAAACCTTGCATTTTGTATAATTGAAAAGAAAAATTAACCAATCAAACCAATCATCTTTTGATATACTCAAAACCAAAAATGGTACATATGATATGAAATCTCTATGAGGGAAAAGAAACAACAAAGAAAATACACATTCTACCAATTCCTACAAAAGAACACAAACTATATATAATGTATCACAAAACATCATTTTACTACAAAAATTTTGAGTTAAAAGAGTCTTCTTTTCCTTTTTCTTCTAGCAATCTTTATGTTACCAAGAAAACTAACCCATTTCTGCAAATCTTCTTTCAACAACAAACCTACCAATGCAGCACAACAACAAAACCCTAATGCCCAATCCAAAACCCCTCTTTTCCACACATTAACAGAAAACCCAAAAAGGGTTAAACCCAAACCCCCCAAAAACACATCAATTTCCAATCTTTTCATCAAAATCAACCACAACCCAACACCAAGAATTGCAAAAAACACAACCCCAAATCCCCAATTCATCTTCTTTCTACTTTTTCTTCTTCCCCACCCATCAAAACCACCCGACCCGAAACTAAACCCACCACCTCCACCTCCACCATTTCCACCACCATATTCCCTTAAAATAGAATCCAATGGCTCTGGTAAAAGCTTGAGCTTTGAAGCAATGAAGTAAGCTGATTCTAGCATGATTTTCGTTGATCTAACAGACCCAGATGGCCTTTTCTTTTTCCAAGCTGATACAATCGGTTTCTGCAAATGCAAACGCAAATGGGGAAGAACCCCATTTCTTGAAAATGGATCGGAATGGCTCACAGCAAGATTTCTTGAAGGAAAATCACTGGTTTTTCGAATTGAATTTGGTAAAAGGGAAATATACTTGGCTTGAGTGCTCTGCATTTTCGCTCTAAGAAAAATTTGAAGAGCTAACCGCAACCTTACGGTAATTTTGGCAAAAAAGAGAAAGGAAAAGAAAAGGACCGTTGATAGGTTATACACAAAATAAAAAGAATATAACTTGTAAAAACAATAATTTAGATATGTTTTTGACCATACAAACCATCCTTTCCGTTATTAACTTATTATCGAGATGTATTTCAATATCAATAAATCATAGTTAGATATGAAATGGATGAAAGCGTGATAGTTTAGGTATTCTTTTGTAACCATTAATCAATTATACTTCCTATTGTGTATTAGGAATCGATTAAATTTGAGAATATATCACGTGAATTCGTTGTAAATATTGTGATCTAGTTCATGGAAGTATAATGCATTTTGATGGAATGTATTTTCACGGACGAAAAGCGATGGAATACACTATTGTGGTAGCCGAAACGGCGGATTTCCCTGCTACATTACAATACCTTGCTCCTTATACAGGAGCAGCTCTGGCTGAATATTTAGGTATTCTTTTGTAACCATTAATCAATTATACTTCCTATTATGTATTAGGAATCGATTAAATTTGAGAATATATCACGTGAATTCGTTGTAAATATTGTGATCTAGTTCATGGAAGTATAATGCATTTTGATGGAATGTATTTTCACGGACGAAAAGCGATGGAATACACTATTGTGGTAGCCGAAACGGCGGATTTCCCTGCTACATTACAATACCTTGCTCCTTATACAGGAGCAGCTCTGGCTGAATATTTAGGTATTCTTTTGTAACCATTAATCAATTATACTTCCTATTATGTATTAGGAATCGATTAAATTTGAGAATATATCACGTGAATTCGTTGTAAATATTGTGATCTAGTTCATGGAAGTATAATGCATTTTGATGGAATGTATTTTCACGGACGAAAAGCGATGGAATACACTATTGTGGTAGCCGAAACGGCGGATTTCCCTGCTACATTACAATACCTTGCTCCTTATACAGGAGCAGCTCTGGCTGAATATTTAGGTATTCTTTTGTAACCATTAATCAATTATACTTCCTATTATGTATTAGGAATCGATTAAATTTGAGAATATATCACGTGAATTCGTTGTAAATATTGTGATCTAGTTCATGGAAGTATAATGCATTTTGATGGAATGTATTTTCACGGACGAAAAGCGATGGAATACACTATTGTGGTAGCCGAAACGGCGGATTTCCCTGCTACATTACAATACCTTGCTCCTTATACAGGAGCAGCTCTAGCTGAATATTTTATGTATCGTAACGACACACTTTAATCATTTATGATGATCTCTCCAAACAAGCGCAAGCTTATAGTTGAATTGACAATCAAAAAGAACGTTGCTTCTAGTGACCCTAATTGAGGAAATATGATGCTAACGATTCTTATTCTATCCTATATAAGGGATCTCTTTGAGAAAAAATGATTTGGAATTTGAAGAAGGGAAGGGAGGGAAGAGTTCTTAACCCGCAAAAAAATTATTCAATTACATAGTTTAAACTTCTAGATTATGATATCCTCAAGACTTTCTATTTGATTATATCGAAAGGCTCAATGAATTACGATTTCACTTTTGATTCAGATTATTTCAGGACAAGTAAATTATTTATAATAATAAAAAATGAGATTCAAAAGAGTTAATAATTCAGATTCTTTGGCCATATTATTATCCTTATAAGATTTAGCTTATATGAATCATTATTGATTTGATATTAATAATAGTTAAAAATAAGACATAATACATACTATTTTAACTTGACGTCAATTTACATCTAAACCTTTAATTTTGAAAGTGTATAAATAGACATTTAAATTGTCATAAAATTGAAAGTAGATACACATATCCTACATAACAAATATCACGCGATTTGTCATATAGGACACATGTATCTCATACGATTTTTCATGTATAACGCATGTCTATTAATTTGATTTTATGATAGTTTAAATATTTACTCACGTACATACAAAATAGAAGATCGTATATGTCATTTGAGTTTAATTTAAAATAGGGAAAATTGTACATAATGACAAACTATTAATTCAAATTAAATGGTATAATCACACTTTGATTTAATTGTGTCCTGTAGCAAACTGTTTGTCAGCGCTTCTCTCCCTCAAACTCTCGCTTGCCACTCTCCTCTCTCGCTCACTCCCTCTCTGCTCGCCTCTCTCGCTTTATACAACAGAATTGTATAAATTGCGTTTCTGTTTGTATAAAGCGCGAGAAAATTGTATATACACATGCAAATACATATATATTCGTCCTATACACTTATAATTATACAATAAAAATATTCCCCTGCCCAGTT